TTTTGGTCAATGACATGAGACAAAGTATATGTGAACTGCTGTATGAAAAGTGAATTTACTCTGTAAATCTTCACCCAAATCCTAATAAAAAAAAAAAAAATGGTTATCTACAAGAATACTGAAACTTTTACAGTTGTTTGAGTTTCCAGGTAACTTAAAATTTGTTTTTATCTCAGAAAAGCAGCTATTACATCTATAAATGAGTTGCATCTCTTTTTTAGTCTTTCTTGGTGCCTCTTGGCAGGGGAGCCTGCTGGCTGTCCACCAAGCCTGCACTCCCACTCCTCCATCGCAGGACAGTTGTAGTTGCAACTACAATTGTAGTTGACAGCCTTCCCAGTCAGAGATCCCATCCCTCAGCCTTTCTTACAGATAGCAGTGGACCTTTCTCCCAGTTCTCACCAATGGAATGTGAGTAGAAACCATGTGTCTCCTGTGTCTGAGCCCTAAATATCAGGTGTGCCCCCTGAATGCTCTTCCCTTTCCACCTTAAACATGGAATGGCCATGCAGATGGAGACAGTGCTCTAGGAGATGGCAGAGCACAGGAGAAAAAGACCCTGCAGAGCACAATAAAAGAAAAAAAGACCTCAAATCCCCAAATGTCAGTATAGAGCAGAGACCATGACCAAGGGGATTCGTTCACTTTGGGACATTTAGATGAGAGAAAAACAAATTTCTATTCCCTGAACCCACTGTATGATGAAGCTTCTTTTTAAGCCACTGTATTCTGGGGCCTTTTGTTACAGCAGTGTAGTCTTAACCTTAACAAAAACATACTTTCATTCTAGTCCCATTCCTGTTGCTTCTCTCTGCCATTAACTGCCTCTTTTTCAGCCACAATATTATTATTATTTCCATTGGTTTAATCCTCTACTGATAGCAAATGTATAATTTTGAATTCCCTCAAAGACCAAGCAGATGCTTCTTATATAACCCTACCCTGACACTTTCTTCTCTCAGGAACTATGTTAAAACTGGGAGCTCTAGTGGTGAAGTGACTAAGGCATTTGACTGCTAACCAGAAGATTGGAGGTTCAAACTCACCAGTCATTCCTCAAAAGGAAGGTTGGGTAATCTACTTCTGTAGTGATACCTCCTTGGAAATCCAAGGAGGGGTCGCTATGAATCAGATCTGACTCGATGGCAAACACAAGAACAACATGCTAAAACTACGAGTTCACCTCATCAACTTGCAAGTAGCCAAGGGATTTGAAACACTTGGGACCAGGTTAGCCACCAGAGCTATATTCTGGGCATAGCTCACTGGCCAGGACCACATCCAGATTTGAATCCAAATGAAGATACTGAGTCTGCTTAGGAAAACAGTGCTGTTCCAGTGTTGTGCTAAACAGAAACATCACTACTGACGTCTAGATTAAACTCAACATGAGCAGATGCTAACTTATCTTTTTCATCTAATCTATTAGCATGTAAAAGTCAACTATAAAACAAGCAATGAGTGTTAGCATTGACTGCAATGTATAAACTGGAGTAGAACTGTTGATTTCAATGAGTGGAGATCATCATATTTATGGTGTTCTTTGTGTGCCAGCACAGATGCTGTGTAAATCTGACTGGTGGAGAACAAAGAGCCATGAAGCTGATAGCTCTCCACAGGAGTTATAAATGAACGGGATTCATAATGAACACACAAATAAGGAAAGCTGCAAAGGAAAGCAGTGTGCTCTTGGTCACAAAAAGAAATCCCATTTCTCCTCTGACATGTTTATTCCTTCTCCCCAAACAAACCTTCATAATGATACTTAATTGAGCCATGCCATTATGTCAGAATATTCTGCTCACCCAACCGATAAACAATAACCCATCTTGAAAATCCACATTTTAGATTTAATAAGCCATATTTGAGGAATGTTAACAGCTTGGTTCCAATGAACAAGTCAGGGGATGCTTAGTCATATTTTTATGCATGAAAATAAGTAACCAAATATTCTACAATGGGAAGGGAATGGATGTGCTTACATTGAGGAAAGAGAAGGATATCTCATACATGATGTGCTCTGTGCTATCATACACAATCACTTTGCACCCATAGCCCTGGTACAAACTCCAGAAAGCATTTCTGTGGTTCAATGTCAAGCCTGAGGAGAAAAGCTGGCTGAAAAAAAATCACTGCCTCAATGTTAGTTATTTTAAAAGGAACCAGTAATCATAAACAGCACAGAAAAGAACAGCATAAGAACTTCACTTTCTTTTGATGACGTTTATTTAAGGAAAACAGCCTCACGCACAAGAAAAATGTTTACCTGCTCTTTAATTATTGTTAATTCAGAAACAATATTCTTTACACTGCTGTCTCGATCTTTTTTATCCTTTCCAAATGCTGGGTTATGTAGGTTGACTTCTTTCATTGCTAACAGATTGTGACCACTACGCTTTCTAACCTAGAATAAGCAAGACAAAAAAGAAAGGAAGGAAGGATGAGGAGAGGAAAGAAAGAGAAGAAAAGACATGAATTAATAAGGTCACATGATTAATTAAGCCATCTAAATAAATTACAGAACTTTTGAAATTCTAACTGTATTTACACTAAGTCCAGCTCAAAACAAACTGGTGTAGTCTGATCAGTCTGCAATATTCAGCAGGATTTTACTGGGTAAATAAAAAATACTGATGTGAATAAAGAGAATGTATCACTTATTGGGACAAGGCACTCCAACAATCTTTTGTGAGAGACTAATGAAGCCTTTAGTTTTCAAAAGGTCAGTGCCTAATTTCTAGAAGTGAGAGCTAAGACAACATCTGTGCAGCTATCTTTCGGACAAAAAAATATCATTCCAATTTTTTTTATCTATCTGTTCACTCTATTTCAATGACTAGTGCTCTAATCTGTTAGTGTATAAGTGAATTCAAAAGTCCAATCAAGTGTAGGTCTGCAAGTGCAATGACCAGTATGTTGTTTCCAAAGGGCACAGTCACCTTGTAAACACAGCCAAAAGCTCCACTTCCAAGATGGTCCAAAATTGCATAGTTGCCTATATATTTTGAGGGAGCTTTATTCTGATTAATGCTTTCAATATTTTCAGCAATTTGCTTTAGTTCGTCCTCCTAATCAAAAAATAAAAAGGAAATATGTTGCTATAATAAAGTTCCTCCTGACCACATAACAGCCTGTCAAAATATTTAAAACTGATAACTCACCACTAATAAATTCAGCTTTGACACCAACTCTTCATATGCACTGATATCACGAACATAATGTCCTATATCAATGAAGATCTCAAACAAGTCGGTGGGGAAAAGTCTACAGGGAAAAACACATGCCCCATATTCTTAATGTAGGAATTGGAAACTGTTGGCCATTACTCACCTTCTGCATTTAGCTCACTCACAGACTATTTACATGAAACAAATTTTACTTCCTTAGGTTATCAATAAAGTGGGAGAATAACAGTCACTAACTTATTGAACAAAATTATGTTATAGTGATAGTACTTCAGGGGTAAGGAAAAAAAAATGGAGAGTCCTATGCATTATTTCTACCATTCTTGTATCAGTTTGTCATACTATGGTGGTTTGTGTGTTGCTGTGAGGCTGGAGGCTATGCCACCAGTATTTCAAATGCCAGCAGGGTCACCCAGGGGAGACAGATTTCAGCAGAGCTTCCAGACTAAGATACACTGGGAAGGAGAGTGGGGCCATCCACTTCTGAAAAAATTGGTCTCTGAAAACCTTATGAAGAGTGAGCCAGGACATTAATAGATATATACACACCCATGCCACAGCACTATTCACAATGGCAAAGAGACAGAAACAGCCTAAGTGCCCATCAATGGAGGAATAGATAATCAAACTGCAGTACATACACACAACGGAATATTATGCAACTCTAAAGAATAATGCAGAATCTGCAAAACACTGCATAACATGGATGGACTTGGAGGACATTATGCTGAATGAAATAAGTCAATCACAGAAGGACGAAGGACAAATACTGTATGAGTCCATTACTGTTAACAGTCAAGTAAAGTATTACACATGGAAGGGAACATATTTTCTTGGCTACCAGGGACAGAGGAGGGGAGCGGGACTTCCTAGATAGGTTGAAATATATATATATATATATATATATATATATATATATATATATATTTGTGTATGTGTATGTATATGTATATGTATATATGTATATATATACATCAAAGATTATTAGTGATTACTAGGGTTAGGAGGGAGGGGGGAAGGGGAAGCTTTTATTTGCAGGACATTGAGTTTATGCTAATAGTGGTGGAATATTTTGGAAAAGGACAACAATAATGGTGGCACAACATGAAAAATGGCATCAATGTCCCTGAGCTGTAAATGTGGAAGTTATGTTGGTGAATGTCTTATTGTGTATGTTTTCATAATAACAGTAAATATATATATATATATGAATAGCAATGAAATACTATCTAATATGCTAATATGTTACTGGAAAACTTTCTGAAGAACCCTAAAACAGTCTGATATAGTGCCGGAGAATGAGCCCCTCAAGTTGGGAGGCAGAGGCACTCAAAATACTACTGAGGAAGACATGCTCCCTCAAAGTAGAGTCAACCTTAATGATGTGGATGAAGTAAAGCTTCCAGGAACTTCATTTCCTGATGGGGCACAACACAAATGGAAAAAAACAGCTACAAACATTCATTAATAATCAGAACATGGGGGGGTGGGGTGGCGGACTAGGCAGAAAGACTGCACAGACCCTCTTCAACAAAGAAAAGGG